TCTCCTTCTGTTCCTCTCTCCCTCCCTTCCTTCCTTCGTCCCTCTCTCCTTCTGTTCCTCCCTCCCTCCCTTCATCCCTCTCTCCTTCTGTTCCTCCCTCCCTCCCTCCCTTCCTTCGTCCCTCTCTCCCTCTCTCCTTCTGTTCCTCCCTCCCTCCCTCCCTCCCTTCCTTCCTTCCTTCGTCCCTCTCTCCCTCCAGTGGAGACGTCCAGTAGAAAAGTCCCACTTTTCCAACTTTTCGAGAAGCCTGGAGAAGTCCATCTGCTGCTGGATACTGGACTTCCTCACCAACAGACCACAGGCAGTGAGAATCGGCAGTCACCTCTCCTCCACACTAGCCCTCAGCACCGGTACACCTCAGGGCTGTGTCCTCAGTCCACTCCTGTACTCAACATTTACACATGGCTGTACCTCCAAGCACAGCTCTAACGTCATCCTCAAGTATGATGACACTACCATCCTGGGCCTCATCACCAACGATGACGAGAGTGCCTACAGAGATGAGGTGAAATCACTGACCAACTGGTGTCAGGAAAATAACCTCTCTAAATGTCAGCAAAACAAAGGAGATGATGGTGGATTTTAGGAAACAGCGTGGATGCCAGCACTCTGCCCTCAACAAACAACGCTGAGGTGGAGCAAGTCAGCAGCTTCAAGTTCCTCAGTGTTCACATTACCGAGGATGTGTTATGTATCGTCATCATTCCATGTTCCCATACAATGGCAAAATTGGCTCTCTGCTTTTAACCCATCCACCACCAGGTGGAGCAGTGTGCAGTTATGGAAAGTGCCCGCGGAGCAACTGGGGATAAGGTGTGCTGCTCAGAGACACCACAAGACGTGCAATGACCAGGGATCGAACCCAAGACCTTCGGGACCCGAGTCGGCTGCCCTGCCTCTACACCATCTCGGCCCCCGAAATCCGTCCTGGACTTTACATACAGACACTGTGGTGAAGAAAGCCATTAAGAAGACTAAAGAAGTTTGGTACGAACATCAGCATCCTCACTAACTTGGTGCACCATTGAGAGCCTGCTGACAGGCTGCATCACAGGGTGGTATGGGAACAGCACCAGCCAGAGTCAGAAAGCTCTACAGAGGGTGGTGCAAACGGCAGAGGGCATCACTGGTAGCAGTCTCCACACCATCCAGGACATCTACCACAGCTGATGTCTGCGTAAAGCATGCAGCATCATTGAGGACCACACCCACCCAGCACAAGGACTCTTCCATCTACTACCCTCAGGCAGACGATACAGGAGTCTGTCATCACGTACAAATCACTAAAGGACAAGTATTATCCACAAGCTGTCAGATTACTGAACCCTCAATAAACAACACTGAACAACTGGCAATAACTAACTAATAATTCAACCTCAATATCACTACCAGTGAAATAACCTGTCAACCTGTGTAGTGTATATATATATATATATGTATAATGTGCATTTTAGCTTATTTTGCTACCTTGAAATACTTATTTAATTCAAATTCATCCTGCTGTACCATCATATTCTACCATGTTGTTGTTCACCATCTTTCTTTAGGACATTGTAAATATTAAAATTACTTTTTCACGTTTTGGTACCTTTTTTGTGCTTTTTTTGTGTTTTTTGCTTTTAGTTTTTCTTGTTGGTTTTATCTTTGATTTTTTAGCGAGTCAAATCGGTTCTTCTCATCCCAAGCATTTCATTGTACTGTTAACCCTGTGTTAACCTGCATAGGACAAATAAACAACTTGAAGTTGAACTTTTCTTCCTCCCGCCCACCCTCTCTCCCTCCCTCCCTTCATCCCACCCCTCTTTCTTTGTCCCTCCCCTTCTTCCTCCCTCTCCCCCCTTCATCCATCCCTCTCTTTATCCTTTCCTTCTTCATCCCTCTCTCTCTTCATCTTTTCCTTCCTTCCTTCTGCCCTCCATCCCTCTCTCTTCATTTGTCCCTCCCCCTCTTCCTTCCTTCCCTGATCACTCCTTCACTTCCTTCCTTGATCTCTCCCTCCCTCCCTCCCTCCCTCCCTCCATGGGGACTTGTGATGAATTTTCTTTAAGAATGAGGATTTAACGTTTCATCACGATGCTGCAATATTTTGATTTTTTTTAATCAAACTGATAAATCAATTTTTACTCACACAACCCTGTTAGTTTCACATTTAGCTACTTTTAAGTTGTTTTCAGCTCCTTGAGGCAGAACATGAGGCGAACCTCCGCAGAGAGCAGGTGAAACATCAACTCTTCTAAAATGTTTCCTCCTCCTGCACAGATTTTAAAGCTCAATGTAAACGATGCTCCACTCACTCGATGTGATGCACGTTCTCTCCACCTTTTTGCCACACGTAGGTCATGTTGGGGGGGTCAGCCACCGCCTGGCACTGCAGAAGTGCATTCTGGGACATGTTAAGGGTGGTGCTTTTAGGAGGGATGACAATGACAGGTGGACCTAAAGATAAGCAGAAAACAAAATAAGTTTATTTTCAAAATGTAATAGAAGATAAAATAAACTAGAGGAATCACATTTCCTGTGAAAATGCAGTGTGAATGCTTATTGCTGAAAAATTTGCTGAAAATAAGCTGAAATTAGCTAAAAGCATGCTGAAATGTAGCTGAAATGGAAAAACAGGCCTAAGTTAGAGGAAAAAAACAAACACGTTTGCTGAATTAGGTTTAAATAAACAGAAATTAGCACAAAATTAGGTAAATTAGGTTTTAAAAAAAGCTGAAATTAGCTAAAAAGCTGAAAAGTAGTTGAAAAGGCAGAATATAAGCTTAAACCACCAGGAGGAAGCAGAAAGAGCTGAAATGAGCAAAAAAATAAAAAATAAAAAGTGGAATTACCAGAAAAAAAGCTTTTTCTTTTATTTATTTATTTTTTTAAGCATAATCAAAAGAGTTAAATAGTAGCTGAAAGAGCAGAAAAAGCTGAAAGGTGCATAACAAACCGAAATTGGCCATAAGGGGGTTAATTAGGCTGAAAGTAGCAGAAATGAGCACAAAATAGTGGAAATTATCTGAAAACAGATAAATCAACAAAAAAAAAAAAAGTGAATTATAAGCAAAAAAGCTAAAAAAAATTAGTTTTAAAAAGGCAGAAAGAAGCTTAAATTACCAGAAGGATGTGGAGAGAGCACATTTTTGCTGAAAAAAGTAGAAACTGGTGCCAAAAATGTGGAATGAGCTGAAAAAGCTAAAATTAGAATGAAAATAGCTAAATAGTAGCTGAAAAAAGCTGAAACTTGCCGAAATAAGCAGAAAGGAGCATAACAAGCTTAAATTAGCATAAAGAAGTTAGAAGCACAAAAATGTAGTTAGCAGAAAGAATTTGAAACGATAACAAAACAGCTGAAAAAACAGCTGGAATTAGCTGAAAAATAGTTTAAATTTGCTCAAGAAAGCTGAAAGAAGCTGAACCAGAACAAAATGTAAAAGGTTGTAAACAGATCTAAAGGATGTAAAATGAGCTCAATTCATTTTCTATGAGAAAAGAAAAATGGCTGAAAAGGTTAAATATTTCAAAAAGCTAAAGTTGCACCAATACCAATAGTCATTGCAGAATTGTCCTGAAAGAGCTGAACGTTTTGATTTATGAAATATTGTGTTGAACTAGCACAAAAATTGTGGAATGAGAAAGACGCTGAAAAACGTACGGAAGAAAAATGGATCACAACAGAGTGAATGCTCCATAAACATTCACACAACAAGCATTCCTGGAAGGACTCCCGGTTTTAAACTAAGATCTCTTGCAATCCAGTCATTCTTAGAGAGTCCGACGGGGATGACTCTCAGCTACTACCATTCTAGATTCTAGCTCAACAGCTGTAATATTCAGAGTTAGTTCCTTTAGCTACGGCGTCCATCTTGAACTTGATTAACTCTAAAAGTGGAACAGCTGTTGATGCACGCCCTACGATGATTTCTGAAAGTCACAGTCACTGGTTCCTTAGATATTTTGCTAACTGACAATACACACACTGGTGTGTATCTAGTCTACGTTTCATAACGACAGGTGTTAAATCCCAGAAACAAAATCTCTTAAAACGTCAATCATGCTTCCAAATTTTTGAAGCATGTCTTAAAAAGAGCGGTCAGACATTTTAAAACATGTCCAGATTAAACTTTATGTTTGCGGCTAATATCACAATGAATTATTCTTTTAATTATCTTTTAATATGACAAGATATGAAGCAACAACTACCGTGTGCAAAATATGGTTTGAAACCCACTGGCTCTCGGTCCACACAGCTATAAATAATACGTCCCGTCTCCTTTCTGTCAGGACTTACGGCTCAAGTTGGTTATTTTTGATTGATCACTTCCCACAGGTGTCATGCTTTGATTTTCTTCGTCATTTTGGATCTTCAAGCTCGTGAGACTGTCGGCTCTGCCCTGATTAGTTTCGCCCCGATCTTTGTTCCTCCCAGTTTCTCGTGTCCGTACGGTGCGGTTCGTTTCCCTGTGAGGCGTCCGCTCGAGTCCACGTCTTCCTCCTGCACAACTGTTTGGTTTGTGTCACGTTTAACAGCCAGGCCTATTCGCTTTTCAATTTCAGGCTCTTTCCTCGGCCATGGAATGAGAGTCTGTTAGGAATTTATTTCATTTTTTTTTTGTCTCCAAATCCTATACATGTTACTTTCATTACGGTTTGTCTAAAAAGGCCTCACTTGTAAATGAGTCTTTGAGACTCAATGTGATTTATCTGTATAAATAAAGGTTGAATGAATGATAGAAAATGGAGGATTTACTTGCAGTTACCTTCGTACAGTGGAACAGGTGGTACTTCCTGTTTATCACTGTATTCAGCTGCCCATGAGGTCGCCCACCGGCCTTCATCATCTTTTACTTTTTTCCAGACTTCATTTAGTTTGTGAAATGGAATAAACCGTAAACGCTCAGGGTAACACGTGTCTGAATTACGTTCCCCACTGACAATGTTTCATAATATTTCTGATTATTTTTCACGAAATCCCTGTGACAAAGCGTTCGTAAAGCAAAACCCCGACAATGTTATTGGAGAAAAAGGGGGCGGAGCTCCTGCAGGTGAGGGGCGTTTCACTTTGGGACAAACTGAGATCGCTGATTGGTCAAGCCTAGCGGTGGTGTCGAGGATCCGACTTGTGTAAAAAAGAAAATCAGATTTTATTGCCCCGTTTAAGAATGTCAACACTTATTCCACATTTATTCAATATTTTGGTGAATCTAAGGTTTGAGAACTAGGTTTTCTTACAAAATCCTAAAGATGGTTTCTTAATTTTTCAGGGGTGCCGAGTTAATATTTAGGGTTACTTGAGCACCCCCAAAAATAAGCTAAACTCTCCAGTGATGAAAACACAGATTTCTCAAAAACCCTCAACATTACTCTTTGAATTCTGCTACAGCATACTTGCTGCTTTTAGCCTTTTTGGTACTTTTAGCTTCTAAAAGCTATTCTGCTACTTTCAGCTAGCCGTTTGCAGCTTTTACCTACCGTTCTAATTTTAGCAACCCTTATTACTTAGGAGAAATAAAACCAGAGGTTGTACAAATTCAATCTGTCAGTTCAGGAAACGGTGTGCTAGAAACTTTCAAAGTAACATGAGAACAGAAATACTCCACGGTCACACAACTGTGCACTTTATTAATTTACCCGTAGAAATAATAAGAGGAGACTTAAAAGTAATTAATAAAAGTCTGGTGTGGTGATAGTGATGTCACAGACGTTAATTCTTGGAGTGATACGACTTTAAGGTCAACAAATTGCAACATTTAGCTAAATTATTCAGTACCAGAGTTTACCGTAATTCCTGGACTACTGACCACACCCAAATATAAGCCACGCCCATTTAATAAAAATAATAATTTTGTACATATATTGCCTATAAGCTGCACCCACTAAATAAAAACTAATAATAATAATAATTTTGTACATATATTGTCTATAAGCCGCGGGTGTCCACTTTGAAACATGAGATATTCACACAGAAATGTGTTATTTTATTATAATTAAATATGTACCATAACAAACACATATGTAAATGTTTTTTTCTGAATGGTGCATGCAACATGGCTGGTAAAAAATGAATCACGCAGATGCCTTCCGAAACAGGGAGGTGGGAAACTGGGGGCGCAACGAGGAAGGGAAGAGAGGACATTCTTCCTCCCCGTTCTCTCCTCCCCTTCCCATTTTATTAGTCTACTGTGACCTGTTCAGTAATTTCATTGGTCAATTTATTTTTATCTTTACAGCCTTTACAGGGAGGAGAGGGGCATTGAGGGGCGGCTGTGTCTGAGTGGTTAGAGCGGTCGTCCTCCAATGCAAGAGTTGGGGGTTTAATTCCACCAGCAGTCACATGTTAGGTGTCCCACTGAACTTCCCATTGCCTCTGATGTGTGTCCCATCAGTGGACAAATGTGATAAAGCTCTAATTAATCTTTGTACAGATCTAGTAGAGTGCTGTATGAATGGGTGAATGAGGGCACAGATTGTGGTGTAAAGCACCTTGTGCTATACAAGTACAGTCCATTTACTATTGAGTCACGAGAAACGTGTATTAGGCAGCTATACGAGCGCCCGGGCATGACGAGGCTAAATGTTTTGGCAGCATAAAGCTTGTTAGCTTGTCAAAATAAAAAAATCTATAAAAACAGCTGCAGCATTAAGTTGCAGCGTTCAAAGCTCGTGAAAAAAGTAGCGGCTTATAGTCGGGAAATTACAGTAAATGTTCATATCTAATGCCGTTTCAACTCTGTTCTGCAGTCGGTCCGACACCCAGCAACATCGCATGTCACACTCACAACATAAAAGTAGCAAAACATTAAATTAAACACACATTTGTATTTCGTTATGTCAAAAAAGCAATTTTGGGGCGTGTGGTCTCATTGTTTTTATGCACGCGCATTAGTAACTGTAAAAAGGTCAATCGTGGCCTCAGTTTCCTCCAATAAACTAAACTATACACAACACCTGCAGCACAGGTACCAATGCAAATTTGTTTCCAGTTTATTAAACTAAGGGAACAAAATGTAAGAAACAAAAACTATGCACAGCAGATATTTACATTTTTTCTTTCCCCCTCAACTTTTGGCGCCTGGCAGGTTCCGTACCCTGAACGTGCACAAACACCTTCAGTCGCCTTTGCGCTCTCGACGTAATGCTGAAAATCTATTTGAAATTATTAAAGCCTTGCAGCTAAACGTTTAATGAAAGCCGAGCGTGAAAACTTGCACCTTTATTTTTTAGACAGTCAAGCTGATAAATGTCCTAATTTCAAACAAAGACAAAAGGTCAACTAGAAAAACAATTTGTCTGAAGAATGTTTTACATAAATGTATAAAATCTGAATATTCTAACGTGTTCATCTGCCCTGCCAACATGCGAGTTCTCAGCAAAGAGCTAATAAACACAACCTTTTATACATCAACATTCAGATAATCCCCGCAGCAGTCGTTACACATCAGATTTATAATCCCACATACATGATGCATGTGTTGGAGGTCAGTAAAAGCTTTTAGAGCCTCTTAATCTAATCAGATATTAGTTTTTGTTAATCCACTAGTGTGGCAGCGCTGCAGGACAACACAGCCAAACCTCGGATCAAGTGATTTACACCGTGTGCCCTTCGGAGGATTATTAGTCAAAAATGTGTCTGCGAGGTTGAGAAACGAAGTTGAACCTTGATGAGACTCCGTGCACGTCTCCCGTGTGTTTCAAGCTGCAGCTGAGACCTGCTCCTCCTGAGGACAAGTAGGAGTTGGAGTAGGAGTAAAAGAACGAGTCAGAAATAAATTCACAGCAGTGCGTGGCGCAGAGCTGTGTCGGTGTAATCCAGTGACACACAGCTGCTCATTTGCATATTTTTCATCCGTTTGCTGTTAAAGTGGACTTTAAATCTGTAACCAGAAATCTGTCGACTTGTTCCACTCCGTAACACTTTTTTTTTAATAGCGCATATCTTTTAGCATATAAAATTAATTTAAATGAAAATAAAATTCATTGATGGAATGCTTTTTGTCACGGAGCAAACAGCAGGAACTGGAAATACCATCTGTCCGTACATGTGAGCACGATAACTTCTAGGTGGAGGAAAAGTTCCTTTCAAAAAGTTGGGTTGCCGCATCAAAATCCAAGATGGCCACCACCATAAATGTCTGTCCATGTTGTGAGAATAACTATGTGGCTGCATCTAAGTGCATAAAAGATTCCCATTAAAAATAGGGTTGTCACGTCTAAATGTAAGATGGCCACCACCGCTAAAATATATTATGCTGTTGACACACGGTACCGGAGGAAATTGGGCTAGCGTCAGTGCGACGAGGAGGGAAACGTGTCAGGAGACGGAGGGAGAAGAGGAAAGTCAAAAATGTAGGACTGTGGTGGTGGGGACAATGTCAGGCATAGGTAGAGAGGCAAAGGTAGCTACCTTCCTTCTCTGCATCATGGTTGGCATGATGCAGAGAAGGAAGGTAGATGTTTTATGTGTCCAAGAGACCAATAAGACCAGCAAGGCTCGTAGCATTGGAGCAGAGTTCAAACTGTTTTACCACGGTGTGGATAGAAAGAGGAATGGAATAGGGTGGTCCTGAAGGAGCTGGCAAAGAATGTAGTAGAGGTGAAAAGAGTGTCAGATAGGGTGATGTGTCTGAAGACAGAAGTAGAAGGTCTGGTGCTAAACATTGTTAGCGGTTATGCGTCACAGATTGGATGTGATGTGGAGGAGAAAGAAAAATTCTGGAAGGATCTGGATGAATTGATTGAGAGTATTCCAAAGAGGAGATATATGGATGCAGTTAGAGAACACAGAGGTAGTTGAGTGAGGACAGAGGGAGATGGAGGAGGATGACTTGCTAAGCCAGTGACCCCATCCTTTCAGGACACTGTGCTTTCTAGATTTTCAATAGCTTAAATGTATAGTTTCCACAAATGACAGGACTGGACTAAGATTAATCTATGGTTGCCACGGCCACCATTGGCCACCCCCTGGTTCCACCTGTGCCTGGTGGTGGATAAAATTGCTCCCTTCGCTCGCCAGGATCCGTCACTCTGTGCTGCCTCGAACAAGAAAAATCAAACTCCTACCCACTTGAACATCTTGCAGCAAAAACATAAAGGTTTACTTTCATGAGCCCAGAAAAACATTCAAATCTCTCAGCCATGGGGAACATCACAGTCCTGCTCGTTTATGTTTAGAATCATTAATCACCTGCGGTGGCCATCTTTATTTAGATTCACTACAGGAGTAAATCAGGTGTAGATGTACACCCATTGATTATATTTTGAAAGTTTCATTAAAACCTGTTTAGAAGATGTTTTTAAAACAAACAAACAAAAAAAACAGCTATATGATCACCTGGCTAATAATGGCAGTCTGAAAGCAAAACACAACCTCGTAACACGGCTCTACTTTTAAACCTCAGAGATGACGACGTGTTTGCTTTGATTTTAATACATTTTCCTACGTTACAAAATAAAACCGAACAAGGAGGGAAGGACCGACTTCAGCCTGGGTTTCCATGACAGCTCTTTTGTCTGACGCAAGAAGAAGAAACACAAATCACGTCCTCTTTAAGGCGGTCGGCCACGCACACACTTCTGCATTTAAAGCAACAACGAACAGACAGAGACGAGTGGAAAACAACCGACCTTTGACCTTGACTTTAGTCACATGCGTCACGTTTCCTTCAGAGTTGGAGGCGTGGCAGGTGTACAGCCCCGATGACTGTGCGGTCGCTGCTGGCAGAGAGAACACTCCCCCCTGATGAACAGGAGCAGACAGAGACACGGGTATAAAAACACAAACATACATACAGAGACCACGGAGCGTGCTCTGAAATATACACCTTTCAGTGATGTTTTATGTCCAACTGGCTCCAAACACAAGATTTCAGCTGGTTTTGAACATTCCATTACTTTCTGGCTCCAGAAAAACCTTTTTATTGAATGTCTAGCATCTTAATTTTTGTTTCTCATGAGCTTTGGGTTCGGTAATTTGTCGACGGTCCCTAAGCAAACCTTTGCGACTCAGAGGAGGAGCAGACTGTTGAATGGCTGCAGATCAAAAATCCATCTTTCATGGCAAACTAATTATGGAGTGTTGTCAAGGACTTTCAGCTACCACCAAGCAAAGCTTTAGTTAGGGTGACCAGACGTCCCCGATTTCCGGGGACAGTCCCCGTTTTGGACGACCTGCCCGGCTAAAGCTGTCCCCGGAAATGTCCCCGGCTTTAGCGTTTTATGAATGAGATAAAAACGTTGCATGTAGACCATTATTAGTTAGCTATGTAGAAAGTGCGAGTATGTTGCACACATCAGCTGCTACTGTAGCTGGTTGCGCTGCTGTTAACGTTACAGACAGAAGAAGAAGAGCCAATTGTGCCGCCTTTAAAACAGAAGAAGAAGATGATCACGGTGAAGTTAGTTTTGTTTTACGTTTGACATAGAATATTTGCGTTCCTCTGATTCAGCGGTGTCTTCCTCTCGTTCAATCCGATGCAGGAAGTCTGATTTCGGTCAGCTGCGCTCGGTCTGCTCCTCCTCTGAGTCGCAAAGGTTTGCTTAGGGACCGTCAACAAATTACCAAACACAAAATTCTTGAGAAACAAAAATGCATGGATTTTATTGACATCGTGGGACTCACCGACACAGAACTCGTGTTAAATTACTCTGCTAGACCTGACAGATGAGATGCACATCTTTTTCTGATTTTAATGCATTTTCGATTTGTACATAATTTTTTTAATTGAAAATTTGTTCATTCCATTCAACCTTTATTTATACAGGTTAGTCTCATCGAGTCACGAGGACTTACTAACAAGAGAGACCTGTTTAATTGAATCCTTCTTTATAGAAGAAGTTTCACTGAAACGTCAATCTGTCAACCTGCGTTTGATTAATCTGGAAGGATTTTAAATTGAAACAATTATAAAACTGAATTTTCAAAGCAAATTAATTCAATTTAAAAACAAAGTCAAATTCGGCTTCTGATGGCACAAGTTTCAGCCCATATCCAACCACAAATCTGACTTGACTTGATAGTTACTGAATCAAGTTTTACTTCTCTAAGTAAACATAGATGTTTAACAACCCGTTAAAATACACCAGAATGCAGGAAATGGCATCTACTTTAATTAAAATTTTCTGGGGGAGGACCCCCAGATGCCCCCACCCCACATTACACAGGTTTCTGACACCATTGCTTTTACTATTACTATATTTATTTGATTATTCTTGTGAAATGTGTGTGGAGAGGCACATTCCTGCTGCTACATTTGATTTTATATTGTTTAAACATGAATGAATATGTAAATAAATAAATAAATTTAAACCTCTATCCTGGGTTTTTTTTTATTTCTTTTTGAAAACTTTTTATCATTTTTTGACTCGGAGCTGGAAATGTCCCCAGATTTAATTTCAGAATCTTAGTTTTAGTTCAATACTTGAACGAGTTATAGCCATGTTTGTGTTTAAGAACGCTAGCTAGCTGCGGCAGCCATCTTGGATTGGGTTGGTTCTATAAGTTAATCAGTTGTAGAGGTCAGTTTCATAAAACCTCCCGAGACCCAAGCTTTTATCTGGTGTGCATTTTCACTTCCTCTTTGGATTAGTACGACCTAATGCATCAAATCGGGGGTTCTCGAACTTTTTGGGTTCAGGGACCTCTTACAGGGAGAAAAAATATAAGAGACCTGATCATAATGCTCGTGTGTATTAAATAACTTTCTTCAATTCGCTTCTTTGATGCAATCAAAGTATTTGTGAAACATAAACCTGTTCTTTAATTGTGTTATTACAATTTTTATACTTTTAAACGTGGTATTTTTCATTAAAGACACACTAAATTAACAAAAAAATTTATTTCAACTTCCAAAAATTACAGTTTTGAGAAAATTAACAGCATCAAAAACAACTTTAAAACTTTACCTACGCACATAACAGAAGAAATGTATCGCCACTTCTCAAATTATTACAGAAAACTTTGAATAAAACTGAACAGAATCATAACAGTAGCTGTACCAAGTAACAGGCTTCATTTGTAAACAGATCAATGCCAGAACGCAAATAGCTGGGGGGAGGGGGGCATATGGGGGTCCTCCGTCAGAAAATTTTGAATAAAGTAGATGTGAGTTCCTGCATTTTGATGTATTTTAACAGGTTGTTAAACATCTACGTGCTTGTAAAAAGAAAAAATAATTTGTTTTACAGACCCCCAAGCATCGGCTTGTGGACCCCCAGTTTGAGAACCGATGCGTTAAATAACTAAACCGTCATGGTACAGGAAGTAGGTTTAGAGAAAAAAAAAAGTCCTAATATGAGGACGGTAAGTTTAACTTTGCATTTTATATATTTTTTCTTTGTAAATTGAGGTCAGAAAGTCCCAATTACTCTAAAAACTAAATTTCAGCATTCTATGATACGCGGTTCTCTAAAAGAATTCAATGTCCTCATATGAGGACACAGGGCAGTCCAGTGGTTTAGGATATTTTGCTAACACATAAACAAGGTCAACGTCATTGGATGCCAAAGTTTTAAAGAAATATCTTGTGCAATGTGTTGGTGATGATGCTCAGCTACCACCACAAACAATTTTAGCTCTATATCTGTCAAATTAGCTGAATTTTAGCCATTTATGTGTTAGCAAAATGTGATTAGCCGTGGTAGCCACCTTGAATTGGATCAACTTTAAAAGTTAACCGGTTGTAGATGTGCAGCTAGTAATTAGTTTCTCCATTTTTATGTTTTTTAATCCAGTGGTTTATGAGATATTTTGCTAACAGGCACACATAAAACCATTGTTGCTCATATTTGCATTTCTGTGACGTGCAACTCCGATTATAGTCAGATTAAATTAAATTAAAGTCTCAAGATTCCAAGCTTCAGGTTTTATTTTACTTTTATTAAGGCAGATTAACTTTTAATTACTCAACCATTTCCTGCAGCTCCTCTCATTTATTCGATTATTAAATAAAAATATATGTAAATACGAATAAAAAACAAATAAAAGTATTACCTGCTCCAGCAGTTTGATGCAGAATCGCTCAAATAGAGAAAATAAATGTTTTCTTTAAAAAAAAAATTGAGCACCAAGAGCTTGTATTTAATTTTTTAATGGAAAAACTAGAGAAATGATAATTTGCTACAGAACAGAACATTTTCAGTTTTTTTTAACTTTACTTCAAGGCAACAACGTCAAAGCAGAACAACAGCATTAAAACCTAATAAACCTCTGAAGTGATTTAGACTCATTTTAAAGTTGAAGGATTCGTTATTTTTTTTTTTTTATATACTTTAACATCTAGCAATCAAAGATAAATCTCTTATTTATATCAAGATAAGTTAATATGTCAAGAGATTCTCATTTATTTAAAATTGTAAAAAGTCTGTAAATAAACATTTTTTAAAATACTGAACACCATAGTTCATATCTGTTGAAGTGGGGTTCTGTGGAAAGGTCATGAACAGTTAGCATCTTACCTGTCGTACATGGATCAGAACGACTTCAGTTTAAAAAAAAAAATTAAGGAATTCTGACTGGATTGATGAGCTAATGGCTATGCATCCATGGCGCCTCCTTTACAACTCATTTGGGATTTGGGGCTGCAGTTGAGGTAATATTTGAGCTTTGAGACGATAATCAGCTGCTCCCGGTTGTGAAAGCCACCTTGTTGTCGTGGTTACACGCCATAAATGCCCAAAAGTAACCAGGTTTTCAGTAAAAATCCTTCCAGCTGCACAACATCCAAAACCAGAGGAAGTCCCAGAATGAATGCAACAGCTACTCCAACAGAACTTTTTTTTTAATGGTTGCAACGACTCATAATTCAGTGAGACTTCAGCAAAAAATATCTGGTCTTTCTCACATTTTCTCCGTCTCGTCTCCAATGAGTCACAGTATGGACAGACATTAAAAACGGGCGATCGTGTAAGCATTGTGTCTGCACGAGTTGCTGTAAAATGTTCAAAATTAATTTGTTTTTTTAAATGGCAGAAATTCACTGTGGCTTTCTACTTAAACTAGCCATTAGCTCATCAAACTATTCAGAATTAAGCTATTTCTCCAAACTAAAGCTGTTCAAAGGGCTATCTGCAGCAGGTAAGATATTGACTGCTCACACATTCCTCCAACTATCCCTTTAAATATTTTAAAACTTGAGAAATGCTTATTTGTCCCACAGTTCGCCCTTGAGAAAGGTCTTTATCGGCCAAGTTGTCCCCTGGGTGCCTAAGGTGGCAGCTCCACATGTGAAGGGGAAAATGCAGAGAATTGATTCCCCAACTGGGGAGTAACAAAGTCTGGAGTATTTATATTATTTTTTTAGTAGTTACAGTTGTAGTAGTTGCAGTAATAGTCTGCACCCAGTTAGAAAATTAAAGTTAAATACAATAATTCAATAATCAATGATCATGGTGAATGATTCAAAAACAATTTTAAAACTACTCTCGCCGTTAAATGAGTTCTTGAACAATAAAATATAAACAGATTGTCTCTAGTATTGGAATGTTACATAAAAACGAGGTACACTTTAAAAAATATGTTTGTTTACCTGATGATTTACACCCTGAATGGCACCGCCATCTTTCAGCCAGGTGATGGTTGGCGTAGGGTTGCCGTTAGCAACGCAATCCAGCGAGATGGGACTTCCAACCAGAGCTTCAATCACAGGAGGCGGGGCTTTGCTGAAGGTGGGTGGAGCTGGAAAAAAAATGTAAATAAAAATGAGAAACTTTTGTTTTATTAAAAATTAAAACTGAAGTAGATTCAAGTCAAACAGAAGAAAATAAAGCAGATGATGATAAATGAAGATTTAAAAAAAAAAATGCAGCAGCAGCGTTGCAGGACTTACAGGTTGAATCAGGTTTATTTTTTTAATAATAAAAATATCTGATAGTCGAGGCCCTTTGTTTTTGAGTTTGCAGCCGGCGTAGGGCACCAGCAGCCTTATTTATTGAGGAAAAGAGCAGCAGTAAATGAAGCTCATACCTGCGGGGCATGTCACGGAGGGCCTGAAGAACACCGTCAGAATCTATCACTCTCATCTCTAACCTGAATCTCACACGGACCGGCTCGCCTCGCATCGCTTTGATCTGCGCCGCGCTGATAAATTTCTTCTGTTCGTTTGTGCGTGGAATGAATGCGAAAGGTTTGCCAAAACACAGATAAACTTCAAAGCCCCCCGGAAAAATAATGATGCATATTTCATATCAAGATTTAATATTTAAACTTATCAACAAGTATGACGAGAACTCTACAGCCATTATTCCTCCCAGAACCGGGGGAAAGAAAGTCACGGGTTGTTATTAAAGTTTGTTTTTTTCCTAATCCATAAGAAAAGTTTAGACGCTGCATGAAAGTTATTTTAATAAGAACATTTTAACAACTAAGTTTAAAGACGTGCTTTATGCTTTTTAAATAGCACCTGTCAAGACGTGGCGCCTTAAGCGAGCTGCGTTTTGCTGAATAAATGAAAAGTAAGACGTGCGGCGTTAGTTTGGAAGATTCAAATTCAAACAGCAGAAACCACTTAGCCTTTTGGTTTTCTACCTGATAAATAAATAAAATGTTGCCTTTGGTGTTGAGTGAAAATTATACTGGATCAAAACAATGTACTTTTAAAGAGCAGCAAAGGGCTCCTTTAGGAAGAGTTGACAGCTTCTGTTAAAATATTTTCTCTTTAATTATTTCCGTCCCGATCGATCATTAAAAAATAAGAGCGATAAAAAGAAATTTAGAGAAAACTGATCCTTTATATGAGCTTGATGTCGACTTGTCAAATCCAGATAAGTGTAAAAGGTTTGAACTTCAGCTTTTATTTGTTATTTTGCCATAACACGACCCAGTAGTTCAGCGCTTTAAGGGCTTCAACAGTGTGAGTGCTTATGAAGCATTCACACTGTTGTGATCCTGTTTATATGTATTACTCAGTATTCCAACTTCTCGTTAGTTTAACTATTCCATACGTTTTTCAGCATCTTTCTCGTTCCACAGTTTTTGCGCTTTTTCAACAAATCATAAGTCAAAATGTTCAGCTCTTTCAGGAAACTTTTGGCATTAGTGCCACTTTAGCTTTTTGAAATATTTAGCCTTTTCTGTCATTTTTTTCCTCACAGAAAATGAATTGAGCTCATTTTACATCCTTCAGATCTTTAGATCTGTTTACAACCTTTTTTTGCGCCTTTCACATTTTGTTCTGGTTCAGCTTCTTTCAGCTTCCTTCTACAAATGTAAACTTTTTTCAGCTACTTTCAGCTAATTTCAGCTGTTTTTCGTGCAGCTGTTTTGTGCTCCTTTCAGATTCTTTCTGCTAACTACAACATTTTTGTTTTTCTAACTTTTTTCTGCCGATTTCAGCTCGTCATGCTCCTTGCAGCTTATTTCTGCAAGTTTCAGCTTTTTCTGCTATTTCAGCTACTATTTAGCTGTTTTATGCAAATTTTACCTTTTCAGCTAATTTCACATTTTTTGCACTAATTAAACTTTGTTCAGCCTAATTCAGCAAAAATGCACTCTCGCTACTTCCTTCTGGTAATTTAAGCTTCTTTCTGTCTTTTTAGCAACTTTTCAGCTAGGGTTGTTTTTTTTTTTTCTCATTTCAGCTTTTTTCAGACAATTTCCAATTTTTGTGCTAATTTCTGCTTCTTTCAGCTTAAGTGGGCAAACGTGCTCTTTCTGCTTTTTTAAGCTAATTTAAGCATGTTCTTTTTCAGCTAACATTTTAGCATTTTTCAGATAATTTCAGCCGTTTTCAAATAAATTCAAGTTTTTTTGATGCAAGTTCTGCTACTTTCAGCCTAATTACCTTGTTTCTGCTAATTTCAGTTTGTTATACTCCTTTCAGCTTGTTTCTGCTAGTTTCAGTTATTTAAGCTACTATTTAGCTGTTTTATTCTATTGCTTAGCTTTTCATCCAATTCCATATTTTGAACACATTTTTTAACTAATTTCACTTTACACTTCCTTCTGGTAGTTTAAGCTTCTTTCTGCCTTAACAGCTCCTTTTCAGCTATTTATTGTCAATTACAGCTTTTTTAGCTAATTTCCTAATTTTTGGGCTCATTTCTGCTCATTTAAATCTAATTCGGCAAATATGTGTTCTTTCTGCTTTCTTCTCATTTAGGCTTGTTCTTCATTTTCAGCTAAAATTCAGCATGTTTTCTTTGGTTATTTCAGCTGTTTTTCAGCAACTTCTTCAGCAATATGCATTCACACTGGGGCCGAGATGGTGTAGAGGCAGGGCAGCCGACTCGGGACCCAAAGGTCCTGGGTTCGATCCCCGGTCATTGCACATTGTGGTGCCCCTGAGCAGGACACCCAATCCCGACTTGCTCCCCGGGCAGCTTACATAGCTGCCCACTGCTCCACCTGGGTGTATTCCAGGTGCGATGGGTTAAATGCAGAGACCCATTTTCATCTTTGTATGGGAACATACAATGATGACAACACATAGCACTTTATTTATTTATTATTTTTGAAGGAAATGTAATTTCTCTATTTTTATTTTCAACTTATTCGTGACAGACTCATGATTCACTCATTTAAAAGTGAAATGTAAGTCATAACCAGGCAGAAAAATGACTTGGTTTTAAAAAATATGAGGTATTTTTGTACCAAACATTACTAAGGAATGTTTAATGGTTCTAATATGTTGCAGTACAAAGTATTTACATCAGCGTTGATCTCTAACCTGCATATTCTGGATGTTTCTCTGCATGAAGACATAAATAAATGGGTGATCAACAGGTTTCTGCAAAGTAGAAAAGGTCATTCAAGCACCGACTCAGGTTTGTTGGAGCCCTAACCAGGAACGGACACCACTGACCAAAGTGTTTTCTTTTGCTCCATCAGGGAAACTGAAACGCTCTGTTGACAATCAGAGCTGCCGCCTCACTTATTCATATAAAATTCAACAACTGAAACGACGGACTCTTTAGTTACAGCTGCTGTGGATCGTTGGCTCATTGTTACAGCAGAGATTACAAGCCCATGTCCCCCATCGCTTAAGGATTTGAACAGTGAATATTCTTTGCTTAGGCGACGAGTGTTTTTCTGCGCAGGAATTAACGGGGAACATGCAAGTAAACCTAAATGTTTTTAGTGCAAGATATTCAAGTGAGTAGGAGTTACACTGCAGAAGAACAGAGGTAGGGTTTATTTTGAAGGGGGTGGGGGGGTGGCGCAGACAGGGTCTCCAAACGAGCGGAGGGAGCAATTTTATCCATCATCACACACAATGGCAGAGCCAGGGGGTGGTCAATGGTGGCCTTGACCACCATAGATTAATCTTTAGTGACCCCAATCATTTGAGGAGACTATACTTTTAAGTGATGTAAAAACTAAAACATAGTTCCCTCAAATGATAGGGGTGGCCGGTTTACATATACGTGGTGGTGGCCATCTTGGATTTTCATCTGACAACCCAATTTTCGAAAAGAACCTTTCTCACCCGTACATGCAGCCCCAGAGTACCTCACTTATTTTCAAAGTTATAGCTCTCATAATCCAGAAGAGAAAAGGTATTTGAACCAAAACTCATCTCGTGCGTTTAATTTGTGGTGCACATGCTGGAAGAGTGTTGTGTGGACCCTCTTATCTGTCCAATATATGTACTGGTAGTTATAAGCAGGGCCAAAAACCATCCCATCAGCCATGTGAGCACAAAAATCTGAGGCGGAACTACCTCAATCGGTTATAAAGGACTGAAGTGGTCCCCTGCAGTCTAGCACAGCCATTTGCAATAAATTATTGTGAAAAACTCAAACAGACAGTTAATTTGCAAAAACCCCGTTTCCTTCCCCTTGTGCAACAATTATTTGTCATTATATTCAATACAACTTCCTGTAGCATGCACAAAGCATTCCACACTGCAGACTTTTTGTTGCTTCTGTGTGGTTTGTATAGTTTTGACGTGGTGTTTTTACATCTCCTGATGGTTTTTTTCTCGATTCTTTCTTGTTCTCTGTAAAGAGTGGCTACGTACAGTTAGAATTCTGTAATGACAGTAAAGACGGTCTGAGTGGGGAGAGTCTAGTCTGTTATTTCAGTGTGTACTCACTAACACTTTTCATCCATGTGGAACGGCCCTACATTGACATTTACTGCTCTGCACCACTGGTAAATACTTCTGGAAAATGTCAAGCTCGTTGCCAACAAGTGATACAAAAAGTTGAGGGAGGTCAAAGGGGGGATGAGGGTGCAGTCACCCAACACCCAACCTGACAGCTTTTTTTTACTTTCTAAAGTTCATCTGTTCTTTGTTTTGCCTTAAAAGTACAAGAGAACATGACAGTAACAGCAGTTCTGTTGTGAAGGACATGCTGCCTGCTTTAAACATATGAACCTTTTCTGTACCTGCCTAATCCTGCTCAGGGTCTCAGGCTGGCTGCTGTTCTGTCGTTAGGTGTTGTCACTCCCAGCAGCTGCTGGACCAGAGGCCAGCTGCATCCTGGACAGGTCACCAGGGTCGACACTGAAGAAAACGTGCTCTTAAGGTCGATTTAAAAATCACAAATTAACCTGACTTGCATGTGTTGAGGTAACCAGAGCTCCTGGGCAGCAGTTGAACATTTGAAGCTTCTTGTTCTGAGGTGGAGGTGCAAACCATGCAGCCTGGAAACGTTCATGCTTTTAGAAGCACATTGTGCTGCTCAAAAGGTTCCTGTCCAAGAATCAATTGATGCACCAGAGAGGGGAAGAAACAGTCTTTTATCCCCCACATTAAAAATGTTACTAGAACCGCCTTCTTCCACTAAAATTAGAACCATCTAAAAATGATGCAGAAAAACTGGTTCATGCATTTGTCACGTCTAGACTGGACTATTGCGATGGTTTGTTATCTGGATGTCCAAATACTTCTTTAAATTCTTTAGTTGATCTAAAATGCTGCTGCCAGAGTCTTAACTGGAGTTACTGGGAGAGATCATATATCTCCAGTTTTAGTTTCTCTCCACTGGCTCCCTGTCAAATCCAGAATTGAATTAAAAATCTTACTTCTAACCTACAAAGCTCTCAACAACCTAGCTCCATCTTATATTCGAGATCTTATTGTTCCATATTTTCCTAACAGAGCACTTCGCTCTCAGACTGCAGGCTTACTCGTGGTTCCTAGAGTTTCCAAAAGCAGAATGGGAGGCAGATCTTTCAGTTCTCAGGCTCCTCTCTTGTGCAACTTCCAGTTTCTGTCCGTGAGGCTGACACATTGTCCAGTTTTTAAACTGGGATTAAGACTTTCTTTGATAAATCCTATAGTTAGGGTCAGCTTGTTATACTGCTATAGGCTTACACTACTAGAGGACAAACTGACCTAATTTCCTTAAATTAATTGTTAAAATTAAATAGTTTTCATTTGATACCATTTCTATCTTAACGTGATTCTTGACCTGCCATTGTGTATCTGTTCCTACTAAACCCAGCCGGTTGAAGCAGATGGTCCTCTTGTCCTGAGTCTGGTTCTGCTAAAGGTTTCTTCCTCATGAGGGAGTTTTTCCTTTCCACTGTCACCCTCATACTTGCTCAAGATGAGAGTTCTGTGATGGAGTTAAACTCAAAGCAGTCTGCTCCTCAGATAAATAATGTTAAATTATTATTTTTAAATATGAATGTTTCTGTTCAGTGACCTGAGACGACTTCTGTTGCGAATTGGCGCTTTATAAATAAATTGAATTGAATTGGATTAGCTTCCACAGTAATAGACACATAGGTGAGCTCTGAACGCACATCTGGAGGCGCCTCACCCATCACAGAGAGCCAGGTCCAGTTGCCGTGCCTCTGCTCATCCGTAGGTTTGCTCAGCAGGAGGATTCGACAGTCGTATGAGCCCTGGTCCTCCAGCTGCAGGCGCTCCAACCTCAAGGTGGTGATCCTCACCAGAGACACTCGCCCTGCGGAAACAAACCAGTACGAAGACGAGACGAGAGGCACGCATGAGATGTTAATCCAACTTCTGATTTAACTTTTGTCGCTTTGCGCTGCAAACACAAAAACGTCCTTGAGCGTTACCTGAAAACACGAACAAGCAAAACACAAAAGGTATAAAGACGGCACACAAGCAAACTTAGAAATCTGATCTGCTGGTTGCCAGGTGACGGCTCCCTCGAGCCATTGTTGCTTTGCAACATCAACTCTTTATCCTTCACAGACTGCAGCCGAACTGTCCGTCTGGATTTTACACTTTAACAGAGAGCGAATTGTCCAGTGACCCGACAGCCAGAAACAGGAGGGTCGGAGACAAACTAAGAGCATAAAGACCATTTCAGGGAGAAAAAAAAAAAAGGTGAGACCAGCAACAGATTGCCGTATGCCTCGGTACCCAGGGATGCTTCTGTTGTGATGGTAATTATTAACAGATGCATTGAATACTACGGAGCGGCGTCTGAAAGTAAAATGGATCCAGGAAGTTGGAGTTAGGTATGCTGCCGGAGATAACACACTCCTATTTACTTTTCCAAGCCGTCAAAGGAGGGGGGAAACAGAGGTGGGAGTGAAAGTAGAGCAAAACACACATCAGCATACACTCAGGGGATTAGTTCGTTTCAAAATCCTACCCTTTGACCCTCGTCCCCCACCGAGGTTTACTGCCTCGCTGTGATATGGGTCACTGTGGCACTTTACAGGCGAGGTTGTGCTGAGGCAGGGACATCACCTGCAGAGTGTGACCTAATGCAACGGCTGCCGCCATTTAAAAAATGCATGATTGCAAAAGATTTGAGTGCACGTTAAATTTACTGTGAAGGGAGCTCCGGAGCAGCAACAGAGTAAAGCACGCACGTTTTACCGTGCGGAAAACAAACAAACAAACAAAAAAAGCTTTACAAGAGTTGGGTGCAAATGTGTTTCTCTGAAGTCCTTTGTTGAGTAAGAATATTTTAACAATATAAAACTGGAAAAACTGATTTTTTTGTTAAAAAAAAAAAAAAATCAGTGCTGAATAACTGAAATTTGCTGCCAGAACAAATTAGTTAAAGCTAAATGTAGCAAAAGGCTAGCTAAAAATGAAATCTAGCAAAACTGCAGCTAGATGCTAAGATGTTGGATGCTGTTTTACCTCATTTCATAATGTAGCTTGATTTATCCAACAATTTTCAGTCAGGTCATCTGGACAGGGGTTTGTTTTTTGGGGGGGTTTTTTGTGCTGAAACGTTTCGCCTTCCATCCAGAAGGCTTCATCAGTCAAGGAAACAACACAAAACTGATTCTTCCCCCATCAGCTTACTCCAAAGTGGAACAAACCAGTTATGTTGGTGCTAAGATGGTCTCTTTGGCACGCCCCCTCCTCCGGTGCCGGCCCTCTCCCTCGTTGACAGTCATGTCAAACTGGTTCAAAAACAACAAAGTCCATGCTCAATAATCCAGGTAGACAAGCCAACAAAGTTCAGCCAGGTCCTCTGGACATTTTTTTTCTTTCAATCTTACCACTTTTCATGTGGCTCCTCAAGATTGATGAAGTCCTTTGGATAAAGGACAAAATGTCTCAACCAAAAAAAAAAAAAAACGTCCAGATGACCTGACTGAACTTTCTGGATTTTTACCTGGATTATTTAGCATGAACTTTGATGTTTTTGAACCACTTTGGCTATGAGGAGTCAACGGGAGAATGGGAGAGCTCCAGAAACCATCTTATCACCAGCAAACTGGTTGGTCCACTATGTGGGTTCTGCTTGAGGGACTCAATTTGATGTGGCTCCTTGGACTGATTAAGTCCTTTGGATAATGATGAAACGTCTCAACAACAACAACAAAAAAGAAACAGTCCAGATGACCTGACTGAACTTTGTTGGAATTTTAATAGTATACTCTAAATGTGACACAAGTCACAGCCAATCAATAAATCATTTAAACCAAATCGTTACATTTTGTGATGCAAACTACTTTTTGTTGACGTCTAGCCAACATGTACCTTAGCCGTTTGTTTTTATTATTGAAGCTACGATGTTGTGCCCAGTCTATTACAGACTGGATTTCCATGAAAGAATAGTTTGCCTTTCTACTCGTGTTGTGCAGCAGTCAGGGAAAATCAAGACTTCCTTTGAGGCGGCACGACTTTAGTCGATCGCCGTTTGATTGTCAGAAAAATAAAATGCTTCTCCCCGCAGGTCTGTACGCATTTGAAGCAGGTTCTGGTGAGCAGTAGTAAAATGAGATGGCTTTTAGTTTTGCATTGTTGATGTAAACAAAACATTTCCATTTCTCACTCAGTCAAAATAACTTTTTGCCAAAATAAAATGAAAACAAAAGGTGATTTAAAAAAAAACAAATTTACATAAAAGGAAACTTCAAGTGGAGCTTTTCTAATGAATAAAGCTGTAAAAATAGAATCTAAGTGTCTTGTGTAAAACTCAAGTTAATGAAGTTGATTTCATCGATACGTCTGCACATAGATTTAACATTTCAGCTGCGCCTCTGTTGACAAAGAGAGAAAAGGTTCCCGGTGTGTTTGCTGAGCTCGGCTGACCCGTACACAGACCTGATCCCGGGCGGTTCAACAGGCCACACCTTGTAAAGTTCACTGATGCTTTCATTGCCCTGGAAATCTGTGCAACGATTTACTAAATCTGACAGAAAGCTTCCTGCGTACAGATAAAAGAAAACGTTCAGACGTTTTGAAAAAAAAAAAGGGTTCAATGAAGAGACGAGCAAATAATATCTTACCTGTAGATACTACTTTCAAAAAACAGTTTAAAGAAAACAAGTTTATTTTTAAATAAACGTCATTTTTCAAACCCTCAGTTTTACATTATGCAGTTACACCAGCTGAAATATGAAGACGTTTATACAGGAAGTGCCCCATGTTGCATAGGAAGTGCTACAGCTAACTGTTGTTGCTTCCATGTGTGCTTCCCCCACCCACACCCCCCTTTTATCTTCAGTTGAAGCATCACAGAAAACTAACTCACACGAAGAAGTGGCAATTGTTTTTTACACCGGACGCATTTACTGACGCAGACCACCGAGCTACCACAGCCCTCTGTGTGGAGCAGAGAGCTGCCATCTAGGGCGCCCGAGGGAGCAGATAGTGGGGGTTAATAGTGTTTGCAGGGCTGTTCCGACGGGCTGTTAGCTCGTCAGTCTAGTCCAAAAAAAAAAAAAAAACCTGCCTCCAAACTAAGAGCCATCTACAACAGGTAAGATATTAATTGTTCATAACCTTTCCACGGATTTCCACTCCACACAATAACATCTGAACTATCAGTTTTGTCGATTTCTGTTTTTTTGGTTCTGGAGTGTAACATCCTGATAAGAAGTGTTTGGTAATACAACGGAGGCCACCAAATAAGCTATTGACAACAGTTCGTGCATATACGAATGTTTAGATTACCGTATTTTTCAGCCTATAAATCAGGGTTTTTTTTGCATAATTTGCATGCCCTATGCCTTATACAACAAAGCAACTTATTTATGGATTTTCTCCCATATTTATAAACCAAATTTTGGCTGAGATAAGACCGTATTCATTCATTCTGACTGAAAACTATTGAACACTACCATTTTCAGCCGCTAGATGGCACTCGAGTAGTATGGCATGCCGTTGTGTCATGCAATAGCTAACAGTGGCTATTAATGACACAATTGGCTTGCTATAGCCTGCCACCTTCGTCCAGATCGCCTTGAGCAACCGTCAAATCTTCATTTCGCTGCACCGCCCCGGCGAAATGCAGCTGATTTGACCATCAAACTGCATTTATTGAGGAAAAATTTAACTGAGACAATATTTCTATCATTTTGAGCAAACAAATAATTGCTTTAAGTGTTAATCTTGTTAAATTCTTGTTAAAGTCCTCCCGTGCATGCTCCTGTGGCTGCCATTTAGCAGCCAATCGATTTTTGCTACAACACCGGCCACATTTCCGAGTTGTCGCTAAATCATAACAGATGCGACTTATATGGCGAAACGACTTATACGGAGAAGCGACTTATACGGCGAAGCAACTTATACGGCGAAGCAACTTATACGGCGAAGCAACGTGTACGGTGGAAAATACGGTAGTTTATTTACAGATTCCCTGTAAAAACTGAAATCAGAGGTTTTACTCTACTCCAAAAAACAGTCTGGTTTGATTGGTCAGTCTTCCTCAGAGAGCGTCACAGCGAACTAACTCACAAAAAGACTTAGCAGTCCGATTAAAACCATCAGTTTAACAGTCCTGCAGTCCGATTAAACTCCACCCACCAATCTGAACCATCTTTTAACATCTGGATTAAGTCCTTCGTGTAGGTCACACACTTATACGTCAATTAAATCACAAACTTCACAAAACTATTATAAATACCAAAACAAACTATAATTTTGTGTAAGATGGCATTCAAATTTAACGTGAACATTTTTGGTTGTTACACCTGTTGCTGTAAGCCCCATCTAAGGCCAACATGTCAAAAATAAATCTGCTGCAACACAGATTAAAGATTATTTTTAGGTTTCTCACTAGTGCAAGCTAAACAAAGCTCTCAACTTGAACACACACCTGAATGAAGCATCCGTCAACCCGCTTTGGACTAAAACCCCTAAAGGCTTCATTCCTTAATGCTCTCAGGTGACACAGAAACACAAAACTGTTCAACACCGTGAAGAAATGAGATTTACTCACAAAAGAGAGGGGTTAAGTTTGGGGACAAAATTGTTTGGGTTTAAATTACAGTTTAACTTTATTTTTTAAATAAGTTACTTTTCATAAAGACAGTGGCTTTCATCACAAATGGGGAGTTTTCTTCATTCAAGCGAGTTGTTGAGCTAAAGATGTTAAAAGATTATTTAAGTTTTCAATAGGTAAGTGCTGAAGAATCATTATTATTTTTTGTTTGTTTGTTTGTTTGTTGTTGTGATTCAATATGAATTTCTAAAAAATGATGGAATAAAATGCATCACAACATGGCACTGTCAGGAAGA